TATGGCTCCCATATTAATCACTTCTATTTAATTTATATTGAGAAATTTCTTTTCCCAGAAGTTTCTAATAATGATTGTTACAGATGACACTAATTTTAACTCCTAATCATTATTCTACTTTTGTAATGTATATCATGAAAGCTAACGTGTATTCCTTTGCGAATCTCAACTTCTTTAATTATTTTGAAGAATCAATGCATCTGTAAAATTTCTTGTTATAATATCATTTGCAAGAAAGTGTCTTTGAATAATAAGGTACTACTATAAGATAAAAGTCATTTTCAAAACTCAGATCCCCTACAAAAGAACTAAAGAAGAATGGCATTATTCGAACATTCTCCTACAACTATTAGGAGAATGATTTTATAGTTACCGCCACAATTAATGGTAGTACCTTATATTATTCATGGTAAAAAACATTATTAAGTAGGAGAAATCTTGAAATAGTGAGTCATATACTGTTCATATCAGATAACATAAACTCTAGATAAGTATTATACATCATATTGAAGTTCTGATTATGGGGATATATATAGAAAAAAATTACCGTTCTTATAAACCAATGAAATTCTCCACTTTGAGTATGCTAGTCATTTTCGAAAATCTAGAGTGTGAAAATATTATTTTTGACGATTTTTATTTGTAAGGCCAATATACGCAATGTAAAGTACCAACTTTGAAATGAAACCATTGTCGCATTTTGACAAGTTAACTATGCACTTTGTACGGCTAGCCTTAACTCTCCGTAGGCTACAATTCTTGTCTTGCTTAGCAAGTCGAGATGAATTACATGCATGACTTTGACACGTGGCCACGTATAATTTTGATATATAATCTTTTCCTTCTGAACTTTAATCCAATTGTTGGATGGACATCATAATCTGTTTAACGAAACCAACTTTTAGGATATATTATGTGGTTTCAAGTAAGTTATGTGATTAATTAGGCCAACTGATGAAACATTAACTATGTGCCAAACTAATCTTGTGGGCATCATTAGTAGGAAGATTTGCAGAGGAACCCCTTAGAACCAAACACACTTAATATATATATCATCTAATGTATTTTTTACTAGATAACTAATCTGAGAATGCATGGTATGTTTTAAATATATTAATGAAACAAAAATTATGATTTAAAGATGAAAATATATCTATATGGTAAAAAAAAAAGAGAAAACTGAAACACTTTTGGTTCAAAACTTTGTATCCGCTAAAACACATATATAATAATGATTTTTTAAAACAATTAATAGATTAAATCAATACTTTTTATTGAATATATCATTTCTCATTAAATAGGACAATTATTTGAAAACCATGATTATATATTCTATATGGTCTCACACTTAATTAAGGATTCTTAAAATAAATAAAAGATTCCTATATGATTTTTAAAATACCAATATATACATATATACTTTCGTACATATATTTTACATTTTACAAAATGAAAATAAATCATATGATAAGATGTACACGATTAAATTGAATGCATCAGACATCATGTTTGTGGAGCTTGATGAGGAACAAACAAAGCTTGTCCTCAGCAACAGTAAAGCTGTAGCAAATAGCCAGGGTTCGTTGATATCTTTTTTTTTTTTTGATAAAGGGCTTACTTCGTTGATATCTTGAGTTGCATCTAATTTCAAATTGAGCAACAGTTTTTTTTTTTGTTTTAGTTAAGTTAAAAATATTATTTTTTTAACATCAGGTAGTTCAGCTCATCCTCTTGTATTTGTAATATATTTTGTAAAAATTTCCGTTTAATAAATGTTATTTTGACAATAGGTAACAAAAATATTAAATCAGATTTAAATTATTATACATAACTTTTAATATTTTTAACACCGGAAAAAAACTTTAATATTTTGAAAACTCATGCACATATATGAATATATATATATATATATATATATATATATATATATATATATATAATAACTAAATCATAATTAGTTGGTTTGATTGTTTATATATTTGTTAATATGTATGAAAAAAGTAAATAGAAGATTATGTTAAATTAAGTTATGATGCTATCTTAATTAAATATCTGATTTCAATATAAAATTTTATACCGGTTCAACTAGTTTTGGTATATTGGATTGTTTCTATTTTTTCTATTGAACCACAATTTATTATAGTTTTTCAATATATAAATTATTATTATATAAATTGTATTTATTTCAGTTCATCCTCTTCGTTTGTAAATATATTTTATAACAAACTGAATAATTTATTATAATTTGTTTTAGGAAGAAGTAGAAAGAAAATTACGTATTTACGGAAATAGAGTTGCATTAACCACTATAACCAGTAAAATTCCCAAAAAAAAACACAAATATTTAAATAGCCATTAGATAACCAAAATCATAGTAATTGATTAATGTTTTGATTTCATCTGCCGATTGGGCCTGGGCCACCAGCAGATAGGTTTAGAGGTCTAGATTGTTTAATGTAAGCTAGGTGATACTAATTTATGACTTGTGACTGTTTTGTAGTTTCAAAATGAGTTTGTAGGTTTCACATACTCATAAAACCTACCCTCGTTGAGTAATTCTGGTTTTTCACCTCTTCTTTTGTATGCACGTATGTGAAGTGCTGGAGTAAGAGTCATGGGTGGTACCATACAATTAAGATTTTACTTCTAACGTTTTTACTTAAGTTATCTAAAGTCTTGGTTAGTTGACAAAAAGGAAAAATAAAATCTAGAAGTTTTGGTTTTGTTTTGTTCAGTTTTCATTTGAAGTTAACTTGTTTGTAACACGGCTTGTTTTGGAATACAAGATGTGTTGAATTGAAGATTAAACTTGTTAAAGTTGAAAGTAAGATCCTAGAGATGAAAATTTTACATTCACGTCCATCAAATTTGGGACTACGATGCCGATTTTCACCACTATTTGAATAGTATTCTTGTTTTTGTACGCAGATTCTTTGATGGCGATCATAATTTCTTGTATGAATGGCTTCACTATCAAAGGATACTGTGGGACATTAATCTTATCGAGGATTTCTTCAACACATGTCTTGCTTACGGCCACCATCATTCTCGATTTAAAATCTTTAGGCACTTCATCGTTGAACCACATTTCGAATCCAGTAGTCCTCTTCTAGTTGTAGCCTCAATTTGACTAGGAATATGAAGACAAAATGACAAATGATGAGAACTCGTTCATCTTCTCTCTATGAAAACGAAAAATAATACAAACTAGATTTTGACCCGCTCAAACGAGCGGGGTTTTAACTTCATATATATATATATATATTTGTTACATTATTATGGATATATATTTTAATATTAATTATATATTTAAATTTATTTTTTCGACCAAATGTTTATTTAGTTATGCTTATTAATTTTAGATAATATATTATGTATATACATTTAAGATATGTTATTTTGTATACATGTATTATATAGTATGTTAGTCCGTTTTGATAACATATTATATTAGTTTAACATAAATATTTATATTTATGAAAATAAAATATATTAATATATCATTTTAATTTAATTTTATCATATTTAGGTCAATATAATAATTATGTTAATATGATAAACTATTTTATTTTATTTTGGCAGCGATAAACTATGATTATAAAATAAACAATGTATGATAAATTTTTTATTTTTAATTTTAAAAATAACTAAATATATATCCAGGTATAATAATATTTTAATATTAAAATTTTGTAGATTATAGAATAAAATCTATCAGTAAGTTAATAAAATCAGATGTTATATACTATCTAATTTTATAATAATATTTGTGTGATTTATAAATTAATATTTATTAATTTACTTTTTAATTTATTTATAAATTTGAAATATATGTGAAAATTAGATTAAGGTAGACCTACGTAACAAATAAAACAAATTTTTGGATGACATTAAAAGTATTTTACAGAATTTTTAATTTTTTTTATAGATTAAATGAATTAGATTTTTAATTATATTTGATGATATTTAAAATTTCAAATAACTAGTTTTCGAAAATATATTTTAAAAATATTTTAAATGATTTCAAAAAGATTTTGTTAGAATCTTCTTTCAAATATTTATTTACATTTAGAATAAAAATAAGATATGAAAAGATATCATAATTAATATATGTAAAAGTTGGTCTAAATTTAAAAAATCATACATAAAGTGAAATGGTAACTTCTGTTTAAATATAATAGATTTCTGTAGATTTTCACTATTTTTATTGAAAATAAAAGATCTAGTAATATTTTTAAATTATGTGATAAAATAGTTGAAACAAATCTTGTTATGTGAAAGTAAAAGACCCAGTTATATTAAAAAAATAAAACCTGCAATATTAAAACAAATATATTTATATATCTATATTTATTTTTATAAGGTTAGTTTTTTCATATTTTTATCATGTATTTTTCTTAAAACGAGTTACCGTATTGTTCGTATATAAATATGTATTTTTTCTATTAGTAAGGTTTGAATTTAAAATTGGATAAATTTCCCAACTAAAAAAAATAATTAAAGTCTGGCATCAATTTCCTAAATAATTTCTAATTTGACAAATAATTTCTATTTGAAAAAATTATCATAATTTCAACACACATTATATATATATATATATGTAATATGTCATGTAATTATAAATATACTACCTACCTATAAAAGCTGATGGATGTAATGTTTTACATTCTTAAGTCGTTGTGCTTTGTTTGCACATTTTCTAATACACTAATGATTTTTGGTTAGTTATATTTTCTAATATGTTATTGTTTTTTTTATTTGAATTTTCAGGTGACTCACTTAAAATTTGGATTTTTACCAAGTTCAATTTTTTTCTTTTTTTTTTTTGGAGGAAGACCAAGTTAAATTCTACTCGCTCTATCCTCTTCCATGTTTTGACAAAACTACCATCAAAACAATCCATAGACAAACAACACACTGCCATTTTGTGCACGTACATCTTGATAACTTTGCCAAAATACAGATTCAGAAACCAAAAGAACCATTATAAAGATGAGAAACTTAGGTATTAAAAAGATACGATATCTGATTCGTGTTTTCGTTTAAGAGACTAAACAAAGGTTACTTAACGACATTATAACTGCCCATAAAGCAAGAAAAACTAGTAAGCGTGTTATCAATCCGTCTTTTTAGAAGTTCTCGACTTAGCGCAGTAGTCGAACAAGCTCCCATCGAAGCATCTCCTAACAGCTTCTTTGGATAAGTAGCCATTCTCGTCTTTAGCCAGTAAGTATAGTACTCCCCACTCCATTTTACTCGCCGCCCTATTTCCATTTTCACCACACCATTATTAAGGGACAAAGACAAAATAAGGGGAAAAGAGAAGAGATGAGATCATGACCGATCATAAGATTTTGGGGCCTTAAACAATTTAGTAAAATCTTGAGTAGAAAAAATTGTAATAATTTAGAGACCTATATTCATATATATTAACTTGGAAAATTTCGGGGGTCCAATCAATATTTCACTTTAAGAAAAGAAAAACAATTATTTCACTTAGCTATGCACATGACCTGACTTTGGGTGACATACCAGCCAAAGAAATCAAATGCGTTGCGGTTAGCCTCAGTCATTTGCCAGAGCTCGTAACGGGTTAGCTTATCAGGCACAGTACGTGCGTACTTACTAAACATGTTCTCCAGATTTGCCGGAATGTACCTGAAAGTTTCAGATTTGAAATTACAAGTTCAACAGAGTGTAAGATGGACAATGTGAGAGACTAACCTTCCTTCTGTGTCGTAAGTAGAAGTGTCACTTCCATGTTTGGCTCTGTGTATGTTTTTGATATAAATCGGGAAGGAGAAAGAAGGTATCCAAGTCTGGTTCATGACAAAGAAATCAGGGACAACATATTGAGTATCCTAAAGAGATAACTATACTATTCTCAATAATGATATGATTTTAAAAATTAATAACTCAAATCTATATATATTTACCTTTATTTTAAAAATTATAGATCCTAAATTTAGAATTATTTCTAAGAATTAAAAAATTTATATCATAATCCCTATATCTGTTTAAAAATGTAAAAATCAATATTTTAGAATTGGACCATGTTGGCGCTAACTACTATACATCTTAACTGAGATGTGGATGAGAAACTTACAGGCAATGTAGCGTAACTCATGGTAAGATGCACGATGAATGTCAGAAAGAAACTAGAGATCACGTTGAAACCAAGTTCTCTAAATCCTGAGCAACACAAAACGATGGTTAATGATCTAACTAATTATTTTGTTTTTAATTGTTCTCTAAGGATACCTCTGAATGTCTCCGATGGGTAAATGATACCATCACCGTCCTGGTCAAAGAAGGCTACGTGCTGTTGAAGAACAGACATGTCTTGGTGCTTGTGTCCCCTTGTCCCGTTAACATTTTCCATGTCAGGTGCAACCATTGCTCGTGGCACATCTGTTTTCAATCCACCAAAACAACCATTCAGAATAAAGGCATATATCCGACTCTAACTTTTAGAAACCTAATAAAGGCCATCAAACCATCTTTATTCCGGTTTATTAGAGGGTTTTTAATCCAGGAATCCCACAAAAACCATAAAAATCGATTATAAAAACTCCAAATCAAAACCGATTTAAGTGGGTTCTTTAAAGTGTTGGACCCACTGATACGCACGTGACAGCACAAACAGTCTGTGATTGGTTCGTTTTTTAATTTTTTTTTTTTAAACAGACAAAAGATTAAAACTAAAATTACCAAATGGGTTTCAATGGGATAAAGATGCTCTCATTAGTGGTTTCTCAACATATCACACCAATAGTATAAATATAAATGTTTTAAAAATCGTCAAAGATTTCCCCTAGGTGTTAGCGTATCATCAAATAGATTATAGCCTAAACGATTTTTAAAATCTAACTACACAAAACGATTATAGTTGGGTCTATGCGTCCAACACTAACACTCTATACAAAAACTAATCACCCCCTATCCTTTTGTTTAAACATTGATTAATATTAATAAAAAAAAATCGCAAATGTTGCTCGTATGAGAAACTTTTCCATGAATATTTCAAATTTATAAGAAACTCTTTAATTGAATATTAATATCATTGGTGAGATATTCTCAATGCCAATGCAATATACGGACATGAAACAAAACAAAGATAGAGATGGAGAGAATGTATACGAACATGGTTTGGGGAGACGATCATCGAGATCAGTCCTGACTCTCCTCTCAGCCGTCACCGGAGCCTTTGAAGCCACCGTTGCCATCGACTCTGATCCTGCATCTGTCGCCATCTCTCTCTCTCGTTCTGTATTGGTTGTGGAGAAGTCTTTTGTTTTTTTTTTCTTATAAATAAAGAGACGTGAGAGAGAGTGCAACTGATTCCAAATAACTCGCGGGAGTTACTTCGCCTTGAACAACAACCTCCTATGTTGACACGTGGTCCGCTTTCCACGTGTTTCTATGACTAAGCATTTTTCCTTCTTTTAATAAAGAAGTAAGCATTCCCTTAATAGTTGTTTAATATGATATCTTTTTTTTGAAACAATTTAATATAATATAAAACCAGAATATTTTTTTTTTGTAATTTCAGTGGATCAAACGAAGTGCAAATAAGGTGGCTGATTGCTTGGTACAACGACTTGCGGATGAAGAAAGCTTTGTGTTTCATTATTATGTGCCTCAGTATTTAACTGGTGTTTTACATGAGGATTATGTTAACTCAAGTTACTAATTTAATAAAGCTGATGTTATAAAAAAAAGAAAAAAAACCAGAATAATTTTAAAACATGTGATTGTAAAGTTTTTTGGGTTTACTCTGCCATTGTTTCACTCGGGTTGTAGAATAATTGCTCCTTTACTACAGTACATGTTTATGATTTTTAAAATCTAAATTACTTTCTTCTTTCTAAAAAGTACCTCCTTCTTTTCTAAATTACCTATTATTTTAGTTAATGCGATTTTCTAACTGCTCAATTATATTCCCATTGTTACTAAAAAGTAAGTAAAAGATATTAACAAAAAAGTTACAATGGGAATATAAGAACCGAATAGATCTATGTTCCAGACCAACATAGATCGGATTATTGGAATCTGGATCGATATTAGAACCGAATAGGTCTGGACGTTTGGTGATCTATTCGGTTCCGGTCAGGGAATTCAGATTTTTAGATTTTCGGTGTTATACTCGTAAATACCATTCATTTTTTACTAAATATTGGATCGGGTCCGGTTCAGTTCTTTTTCGGGTTTGGTTCAGATCAGATCTAACCAATATTTAAAAGCGTCTAAAAATATATTTTTAAAACCCCGAAACTTGTCAATTTTTTTCAAAATATTTAAATTATGTACAAATTTAATTAAAAATTAGTTAAACTATCCAAACTAACTAAAAAGTATTCAAAATAACAAATAAAACCAACTACACAAATATTTTGAATATTCTAAAATATCTAAATCACTTTAACATATATAAATAGATTAACATATTTAACTAATTTCGGATATCTACGGATTTCGGTTCGGTTCGGATTATAACCAAAGTTCAAAATCGTAAACTCATAAGTTCCGTTAGGATAATTTTGTAAAACAGTTCAAATTCAATTTTTGTTTTTTCGGTTCAGGTTAAAGTCGGTACTTCGGGTTGAAGTAAAAACACCCAGACCTGGTTGAAGCTCTCTTAACACCACTGAACCATCCTCGCTTGATTAATATAACTCTATTCTTACAAAACTAGGAAAATAAAATGATATCATCTTAACACATATGATTCCAAATGTAATTGAACAAATCTCCTTGATTAATATTTCAATATTCTCCACCATCACCTAATTGATTCTTTCTTTTCAAATGCTTCCACAATTTCAATTAAATTATGTTAAATTTAAATTACCATCCAAAAAAGTCTAATTCAACGGAGCTTCATTAGCAGAATAATTCTGTGTCACACAATTAAAAATGAAAACAGAATAACAAATAATTATAGCTTGGCGTATTAAGCAGCATTTGACCAATCACAATAAACTAAACTAAATTCAAGAAAAGCCAAATATAGCCATTAAGTGGGCCCTTTCTGGATCTCCTACCACAAAAGAGAAAAGAATATTCGTACTCCACGAAAATCTCAGCCGTTGATAGAATACACGAGTGGGATCAAGCGGTCAGGAAAGTTATACAAAACCCTGATGGAGACACAACATAAAGGAGAAATAGAGTTCTTTGAAGATATCGAGAAGACAAAACCAAAAAGCCTTGTTTTTGATCAATCATCAGGGCCCCTTGTGTTCTTTAGAGTTCGTACCACCGTTGATGAGTTCGAGTAAGATTCTCTTTACTCTAATCTCTCTGTCTTTTTTATGGTTAAATGAAGAGGAAAGATATCAACTTTCACCTTAGTTTGTGAGTTTTTGATCAAAAGGTTTGATTTTTTAGTGATGGGTTTGTTTATGATCTTAAGAAGAGACTGTTTATGTAAAACCCATCTGGTTTTAGATTCTAGAGTTGCCTATAGGATTGTAAAAGTTTTAAACTTTGATTTGATTCTGAGTGTGTGTCTTTCAGTAATTGAGAAAGTATTCTCCTTTATTGTGTTATTTGAGTTTTACAATAGTCTCTCTGGCTCATCAAAAGCCATATAGTGAAAGAAAGTGGGAGTAAATTTCATTCTTTAAGCATTGATTCCATATCTTGTGTAATGGACTTTCACTATCTAAGTTGTAAGATGCTTCATCATCTCCATGAAGCACACTAGATGTGTCCTCTCATTTTCCTTTTAGTGTTATTTTGTTGATGATTAAGAGCTTAGAGTTTTGTTTTGATCTAAAGCAAAACAAAAAGGTTGGGAATATTCCTGAGCAGACTGTTTTTGACTGAGGAAAATGATAGAAAAGAAAAGGAATTTTATTCAATGGTTCATCTCCTCTGCATAAAGTTATATTCTGTAGTGAGTCTAACTCTCATATGCATCAAAGTTTCCTTCATTGTTGCAAACCTCTTCTTTTTTTTTCTCCATCTGAGTTTAGGATACTGTGTGGTGCTCTTTTTTCGATGACTATGGCTAATGATTTGGGATACTCAGCAGCTATGTCTTCCTCTTTTTCAGCTCTGCATACTTCTGGAGAAGACAGATACCCTAACTCTTTCTGGGGTTCATCAGGGCAGGAACTGATGAACAACCCTGTGGTCTCTGGTGGCAACTCTGGTGGGTATATGTTTCCTTCTCCTTCCGGATTCTGCAATGTTTCAGCTGTCTCAACTCATGGAAAGATTCCCCAAACGCAGCCACCTGTTTCCACCATGCCACAGGATTGTTTTTTGGAAGCACAACCCTTGTCATTGATTAATCATCATAACCTTCCAGAGTTTTCAGATCCACTTGAAGACTTCTTTGATTTTTCTGACCATGTTCCTGCTCTGAATCCACAAGCAGAGAGTAGTGGAGTGAAGATGGGCTCATCAGTGGAGCTTCATGAGAAAAGCGAGTGGCAAAGTTGGGCAGATCAGTTGATGTCTGTTGACAATGGTTCAGAGCCGAACTGGTCTGAACTTCTTGGAGATCCAAAACCACAGGTTCAGTTTCTCTACCTTTATATGATCTCTATGTTTGTTCATTATGTCATTTAATCAGCTTTCACATGATTTGCAACAGATACCAACACCATCTTTGGATGTACCAAGGCAAGAGATAGTAGTAGCCAACCAGCAGCAGCAGCAGCAGGTGGTTTCGTTGGAGGAGCAGCTGAACTCATCAGCTAGTGCAGCAACAACTAAACAGCGGATGCGTTGGACACCAGAACTTCATGAGGCGTTTGTTGAAGCTGTTAATCAGCTTGGTGGTAGTGAACGTGCGTAATCTTTCTTCTTCTCTTTGTTCATGAAAAATAACGTCTCAATTCTGTTCTTGACTTTTCATAATTTCCACATATAGGAGCCACGCCTAAGGCTGTTTTGAAGCTCTTGAATAACCCTATCTTGACCATTTATCATGTCAAAAGCCATTTGCAGGTTTGTTCTTACCCATGTGTTTGTTTCTCATTTTGTACTATCTTTATACTAAACTCTTTTTTTTTTTTACAGAAATACAGGACGGCAAGGTATAAACCTGAGACTTCAGAAGCTACAGGTTAGGATCTCATCTAGTTTCACAGAACACTTGTACACTTTTCCCTAAGCTTTAAACCACATAGGCCTCTAAAGAATTGGTCACTCTCTAGAAAAGGCTCAAGTCTCTGTATTAATTTTGTTTCTTTCATGCACAGGAGAACCTCAAGAAAAGAAGATGACATCTATTGAAGATATCAAATCTCTTGACATGAAAACGTAAGAAAAAAAATCAGTTTCTTGACTGCATAACAAACTAGAGAGTATTGATTATAATACTGTTAACTTAATTTGTTTCCAGCGAGTTAATTTATATTACTATTCTCTTTTGCAGGAGCGTTGAGATCACACAAGCTCTAAGGTTACAGATGGAAGTTCAGAAACGTCTCCATGAGCAGCTCGAGGTAATAAAATTTCACTAACAAAACTATCCTTCTTTGCCTGAAGAACTAGCCTGTTGTGACTATTGGTTGATGTTTGTTTATATATATATGTATCAGAATCAACGGGCGCTGCAGTTGCAGATTGAGAAACAGGGACGACAGCTACAGATGATGTTTGAGAAACAACAGAAGTTAGAAGAGAAGAAGAGCTCTTCCTCATCAAAGCAATGCAACGGCGCATCTGCAGAAGCTGAATCTGGTGTTGTGACACAAACAGAGGACCAAAGTGAATCTGCTGCTGCTTCAGTATCAAGGAAACGGGCCAGAGAAGATTAGAAAAGCATATTGATTTGGTTGACGAGACATGTTTATTGAGAATTAAGTTAGGTGTTTTGTGTAATACACAGAGATGCATTAACTACAGTTTTGTTACAAGAAAATTGTTTCTTCATAGCTTTGTGTTTTTGTTCAGTTTTAGGAAGCCATGAAATAACAATGGCTTGGTGGATCATAACAAGAGAGTGAAACCAATGAAGCTTTGCCTTTATGAACTCATAGGGGAGCCTTTAGTAACTCATCCCTTAACTTCACCACTTCCATTCAATACATCTTCTTCCACTGAAAGCCTTAAGTACTCTCTATGTGCAAAACGGTCCCATTCTGTCAACGTAAGCTTCTCAAGCTCCTGTTTCCGTTTTGAAATGTTATAAGAGCAACCCCCGCGTAAAGAAGCACCAAGGTTAAATATCAGACAACAAGTACCTGGGGAATAAGCAATAGATCTTGTGTTTCAAATGCCATAAATTTGTTAAGATTAAACAGCATGTTGAAGACTTCTCCAGAGAGCTTGGAGCTCTTCATGTCACGCAGGGTTATGTAGCTTTCGTTCTGCCCAAACACATAACAAAATACTATAATGGCTTTAGTATATAATAATCACAATATCATGAGACATAGTGTTTCAACCTCTGGTCCAATCATATCAATAATCTGACATAAGACATCCTCAAAAAGAACAGCCTCTTCTGCCATGCATTCCTTCCAACGCATCTGCTCCTCATAAAAGAACTGCATCTCATTTTGTGTAAGAATCCCATTCCCATCCAAGTCTACGCACTTAAACCTAGTAACAATATATCATTATGTCAGATACAAAACAAAAACACTATATGTCTGGCACATTTGGATCATTACGTCAAATCTTACCAGTATTCTAGGCTAGGCACTGAAGATTTATCTTCTTCCGCAAGTATGAAATACACAAAATCCTCATACCCCATCTTCCCTTCAACTTTGCTACTAAACTTCCTAGCAACCTGAGTAGCAAACCAATGCATTATTAATAACTAGGAGCAAGAAAAACAATAAGTCTTGAAAGGATCAAGGTCTTCAAGATCAAGGTCTTTAAAGACAAAAACCTGAGAGAATATCCTGTCGACAATCCGTAACGTAAGAGCATGGTTTCCATATCTCATGAGATCTTCTTTCTCAATCAGGAGATCATGATCTGTATCTAGCTCCCAGAACTTGCAGTATATGACATAGAAATGCTCATATGAGAAGTACCTAGTGGCCAAAGTTAACAGAAAACTGTTGCTTACCATATATACAACAATAGCTACAACATACAACAGTTCCATATGAACTCTTTTTTTTTTTTTTTTTTTTTTTTT